GAGCACTCTCTCTCTCTCTCTCTCTCTCTCTCGGCTCAGCCAAGTCGTCGATTGGACAGCCGTTTTGCGGGCCCTTGTCTTTCGCCTGCTTCGCTCTCATCTCCCTTTTGATCTTCGCTGTGGCCCAGTTAACTCGTTAACTAGTTAGTTAGTTAACCTGTTAATTAGTCAACTAATTAGCTACATATCTCAACTGCACCGAGGTCACAACCTTAGGAGGTAGGTACCTCCTCTAAGACAGCTGTGGAAGAACGATGTTCCAATGCCCGGAGCGGCTGAGATGGATCCATTACATCCATCTATTAACAGGTAGTTATGTAAGTTAACTCGGTGGCCCCGGGATGGAGCCAACGGCGGGGAGCCGGTTGGCCGATAACTAACGAAGCACCGAGCGAGGGAGAGTCGAGTCAGTGAATTTGACGTTGACACCGCGATGCAAGCCACAATTGTCTGAGGTAGCCTCCCGCCTGTCCCGCTAACTAAGTTAGTTACTTGGCTGTCGCAGCCTTCTTGAAAGGTCTTTTTATATAACTAACTACCTATTAGTTATTGATCGAGAGGCGGCGACGTTCAGCAGGTGATGGCGTCTACGGAGCGGCAATCGCTGCAATCATGGAAGAGCCACTTCCCGGCCGGGGACCTCTGGGTATTTGGTTACGGGTTCGTCAATGCAGTCAAACGACTTTGCCCTTCCGCCGTGCCCTTTAAAGCGACATCCCATACTGATAACTATGGCACACCTAGGAGCCTGATATGGAAACCTCCGCCACATTACGGTGTGTCTCGGCTGTCCGCCTGTGAGGATGGTGGCCCTGCTAATATTTTTGGTTTCTTCAGACCAGCGGGTTGCCGGATATATCAAGGGCTACGTTCGTCGATTCTGGCAGGTAAGGCTTGCTTGGGAATCAAAGCATCCAGACTTTCAATGATAAAAAAAATGGTTAGGTGTTGAACTGACTGGTACCGGATTGGATCGATAGGCAAGGTGCGACCACTCCACCCTGTAGTTGGCACAACAAATACCGCCAGCCAGCCAGCCACAGCAATTACTGACAGAGAATACCTTCACAATTTCAGTACGGATCATCGTGGAACCCCAGAAGCACCGGGTCGTGTAGTCACAGTTATCGAGCGTTCGTTTTGGGAGTCCCTTTCTGATCCGGTCAGTCCGACACCCATCCCTGATGGTCTTTGATGGATTACGCCTGGAGCGTGGTGTAGCCACTCAAGAAGGCATAACTATGTATGTGTTGCGTACTAAACGGTTCTCAGCAACAAGATCTTGAACGGACTACCGACGGGTCCCTCGTCTGGGGTGCAGCATACCACATCCCTGCCTCACACGCAGAGGAAGTGAGCGCATACTTGGACGACCGAGAGATAGATGGCTACAGTGTACACTACACTCCCTTTTATCCGTGCTCAAGTTCCAAGAATGATGAAGCCCAGTCTGCTGCTGGCTTGCAGTCGAGAGAATGTATGGTCTATATTGGGCTCCCGAGCAACACCCAGTTTGTGCGTGAACCAGCACTGCGCAAGCCGGATGCCATAGCAGAAGTGATCTATGCAAGCCGGGGCCAGAGTGGAGAGAACAAGGATTACCTCTATTCGCTTGAGACCGCGCTCGAGGGCCTTGGACTGGGTTCTTCTGATGTTCACGTCACGGACTTGGTGCGGCGCGTGAAGGCCCTGCAACAAAGCGGCTGACAGCCATGCTTATATGCTAAGAGTTTAGATCTGTCTCTCTCGTTTCTTTTTTATATGCATGAGCGTCGCCTGTGGCTCTTATACACTTCTCATACCCTATCTATAGAAGCGAAGTGGGTTTGGTGGGGTCGATAGATCAAATTTATATAACCATGGACACATAAAATAAAAAAGCAAGGCTTTAACCATACGTTATCTCAACTACACTTATTACCTAAACTCGAGTCTCAGTAATAATCAGGCTCATGCCTAGCGCTCCTCCGCTGTTGGATATATTGGATGTGTAAGGTTGGCCTTGACCGACCGAATAGAAGCAATATTAAGATTTCGGGAGAATTCAGGGGACAACCCTTTTCTTTTCTGTTTTAACTCAGGGGGATCAAAGTAGCAAGCTCATCATACAAAATTAGCGAATTGATTGTAGAAGAGTGGCCAGCCATTCGAAAGCATCTGAAAAAGTGGCGTAACATAAGAAGCAGAATGAAAGGAGCAAGGAAGGTGGTGTTCTTTTTTTTTTTTTTTTTTTTTTTTTATTCTCGTAGTATAAGCCTACTTTTGAGAGATACGGAAGATGTTTTCATAGAAAGGAAAAGGTGTCAGTGCTTGAGGTGCAAACAAAGATCAGAAAAGATCCCCCATCTCTGGAGAGCAGTCATAAACTAAGGGGGAAACATTGGTTGGGCAGGAGGGGAATGGGCGATTAAAGGGACTATGGGAAGGAGAAAAGACGTGATGAAAGATGCAGAGACCCTTCTATCCTCGAAAGCAACAGCAAGATAATCTGGTCGAGTAATTTGGGGTATTTTTTTTTTCCTCCTTTAGAGCGGTATGTAGGTTCCGGTGGTCTGAATGAAATAGATGCTGATTGATCGTTGGGTTGGGTCAGGTTATCTGATACATAACTAGGTATCTGTCTCACTCGTTATTCGTAACATCGTGGCCCTTCTTCGTGAACTATCGTACTTCGCTGTCGAGAATCGGTTGGAAAACTGGATAAATAGAGGAGAAGAAAGAAGAAAATGAAATGGAGGGAAAGAGTGTAGAAAATCGGGGCAGATTCGAGGCAAAAAGGCTGGCATCATCCTAGAGCTAGCTGGTAAGCCTGGAGAGCGCGAGAGTTACATTCCTCCGTTGCCTCCCTGGTTCTGGCCATGGTATGCCTGCTGCTGCTGTTGCTGCTGCCCACCCCAGCCTGTAGTAGGAAATTGGCAAGTTAGTAAGAACCCATATACACCAGGCATATACACCAGACCCTATAGGCTGGGAGTCTGGAAGACAAACGAACTCACCACCTCCTTGACGAGAATCATAGCCACCGCCTATATCCCCCAATATAAGTTAGTTAAAAACCAGAGTTTCACATGGAAAGCGTATGGTTTTATGTACACCTACCGTAACCACCGCGGTTGTAGCTGCCGCCGCGGTCAGAGTTGTCGAAGCGGTTGTAGCCTCCCTGGCGCTGGCCATAGCCTCCACCGCCGCCGGAAGAGCGTTCAGTCGCCTTGTCGACACGAATGACACGGCCGTCGAACCTGTTGGGGGATAGTGAGCAAAAAGCAAGCCAGTAAAAAAAAAGAATCAGGTCCTTCTCCCAAGGGGAACAGCGAGCATACTCTTGGTTGTTCATCGCATTCAGTGCGGCATCAGCCTCACTGTCGCTAGAGAAACGAACAAAGCCAAAGCCGCGGCTGCGGTTGGTATCACGGTCCTTGACAACAATCTGGACATGAGAGATCAGCTATCTACAAAACATATCCAATCCTGTGTCCGGCGACTAGACAGATCAATGGATGGACAAGATAGAATAATAAAGAGAGCAACGAACGGCTTCCTCGATGGTGCCAAACTTCGAAAACCCTTCACGCAGGGTATCGTCAGTTGTATGCCATGCGAGGCCACTGTTCCAAGACGAAGAGAGTAACTATTAGCAGGTGGAGCAAAGGCGAAGAGATAGACGACGATGAAGAAGGAAACAAAAAAAAAAAAAAAAAAACAAAAAAAAAAAAAAAA